ATTCTGGATCACTTGGCTGCGAATCTCACTGGCTCATCAAAATCCATAGAGGACACTGCGGTGGCGTGTATGAAGTTCTTGGAGCTGGAAGGCAGCAAGGACTGAAGCCTGGAGTCCTCTTTAGAAATTTGTTTCTGAGATGATCAGGCGGTACCGGTTTAGGTTCCTGCATAGATGTTGATCATTGTTATACAGGCTGGTTATGTTGGATCATGTAGATGATTTTCAGTGTGAGCCTCAGAATATCGAGCACCTGCACTTCCTGTTGATTTAGGATTTGGCCTTAGGCTCTAAATTCAACTTAATTTTAAAAAGATAGATTCTGCTCTTAATTGCATTCATTTATTTTGCATAAAAAGAGGTGGAGTTTGGCGCAGTAGGTCTGTGTATCATGAGACTATGTCACCGTTGTATGATGATTATTGAACAATCCAGTCAGTGGTTAGACAGAGGTAGTTACTGATTTTGCTTAACAAAGAACTGGTGCAACTACACAACTTACCATGCTCTGGTCTGGCTGCTCAGGACCTTGCCCAGGTGTTATGTAAGTACATTAAACTGCAGGAAGTGAAAGCTCTTAGTCTCACCTCAGAGCCATTGTTTTTAGTGTAAATAACTAGGCAGGGTGGCAGCAGCTTTACCACTGGCTGATGTGTTATAAAACTAATATTTTACAGGCAGAGAAAAAAAAATGAAGAACAGTAATAGCACTTTATTCCTTACCTGGTAATGTTTACTTATCTGTGACTTCCAATAAATCATTGTTTCTCAGGTTACAAATCCATTGTGATTTCTACTACCAATCTCTCTGGAAGAGCTGAAGAATTGGTTCCAGAAAGACTGTTAAGTAGCAATGCTGGGGGAGTTGGCCTCCTATAAAAGTTGCTCTGTAAATGCTAGCAAGTTTTGTGCAAGAATGCTATGTTAGCATTGAGTGAATATAAAATAGTAATAACCTCAAATACATCCACACATAGTTGAAAAGGTTTCAGAGTGATTTCAGAGGTTTTATTGTAGGGCATCAATTTTGTTTTCTGATGTTTTGTTTATTTTTGATCAAAAGTGCCCAATTAAAAAAAAAAAAAAAGGTAAGAGTCAGCAAGTCAGCATTTAGATCATAACATGAATTGCTGGGGGCTGGGAGGACTGAAAGAATTGGAGAATGGGAACTGTGGCAGTCATGTTACTGTAGTCTACCAATACAGACAGAGCTCTGAGGGTCTGTTTCAGTTCCCACTAAAGCAAAGAGATCTTTAATTAAACCTGGCACTGAATCAAAGCTCTGCTAATGATATATGGGTTCCAGTATACCTCAATTTTGCACATGACTTGTCTACCAAGTGCAGTAGAAGAGACACCAACTGTGTCCTGGAAGTCATCAAGGGTATTAGTGGGATGAGTCACCTGGCCTCTCAGCAAGCCTGATTTACCTGTGGTAGAGCACTGCACTGAACAAAAGCATCACTGAAATCAGGACCTGTCCTCTCTGGCTCCTGGGTAAGACTGGCCCCTGCCTTCCCTATAACACAAGGCCCTGTTTGCACTTGTAACAAGCAAGCGAGGCAGACGCTCATCTCTGGCTCACAAGGGGTGACACTGGGTATAGATCTGAACTGTGAGCATGGCACAGCTTTCACCACATGCATAAAATATGGTACCTAAGTTCAGGAGGGAGGATGACAGCCCTGCCAGAGCAGAGACCCTGCTGAGCCCCTCCTGCCAGGTCAGCTGGCCCTGCAGGAACAGTCCTGGCCAGGAAGCACTGCAGGGCCAGGAACCCAGCTCTCACTCCATGTGCTTTAACCCCGTTACATGTGGATGGTGGCAGGCAGCCACAGCAAGGGACAGGTGAGTGTGGGCCCAAGCTTTAGTGAACAGAGACGCCTAATGTTTAGCTCTGAATGCACATGCAGAGCTCCAAGTGCCCAAGCTCAGCTGCTGCCAGCACACAACCTGCCTCCTAGAGCTACTTATACACAGAAGTTAGGTTCTGGCCTCGGTAGCATGTGTGGTGTTAGTTGTTTTTTTGATTGATTGTTTTTTGTTTGGTTGGTTTTTTTTTAGCATTTTTTGAGCCAGGTGACCTGGTTTCTGTCCCTAGAGCCTATGTATTCCTAATCTTCAAACATAAAGAGTGTGCCCCCACTTTGGTGTTGGGGGTGGAGGACCTGTGCACCCTGTTCAGTCTGAGCCACTGGATCATCCTTAGGCCAGTTACTGACCACATTGTATTCAGTGGTAAGGGCAGGAACTTGGGAGAAGCGTGAGGCCAATGAGATACTGATTTTTGTGCTGAACTTCCCATGAGCTCCCACTACCGCCTGAACTTGGCTGTTCTCAGGTGGCATTTTCTGCTTCTGAAAGGAGGAGCTCCAGGCTGGGAGACTGTCAGCAAAACACCAACATCCCTGGGAAACCACAGCTGCCCAATTCTGGCCAGCAGCTTCATTCCCTCTGACCCTGCCACACAGGCATCAGCCTTCTGTGAATGGGGCTAGAGCTGTACAGGTAAATTTATCTTTTCTATGTAGCCTAAAGACTCTACAACAAATATTAGCCACCTTCTAAGACAAGGAGATTCAGGAGGCTTCTGCTAGCACAAGGTTTTCCTTAAATTTAATTGTTTGTCTAACTGTAATTTGCTTGCAGGTACAAGCATATCTTTACATACAGCTTCTACAAGAGCTTTTCAAATAGCATTCTTTTAACTACACATGCCTTTGTGCAGCCACTCAAAGGGAGTATTTATTAGTGGGCAAATTTAGCAAATAGTTCTATGTAGCACTTAGTGAAGTGGAGCCTTAACATGTAAAGCTCTTCACTGATGTTATATGGAATGCAGTACAAACCTTTTCAGAATGTCCTTTTCCTCAGGAGCAGAGAACAGGAATAAAAGATAAAACTTCCTTTGAGTTACCTAGCCTATGTAAGCACATGTTGTGATTACCTGAACAGCTGTTCCTGAACATCTCTTGGAGCCCCACCATGTGGCTTTGCAAGGCTGAAGAGGCCTGTCCCTGACTGGCAAACAGCAGCGCAGCACTTAGCTGCAGGAGCTTGGCAAGTGTTTTGGAGTACAAGATGGATCAAAGGAACAGGTATGAAACTATTGTACCCAGGGATTGGCACTACAAGAAAAACTGCAACCCTGTCCTGAAGGGAGGAGACACTTTTGGCACTGTCCCCTGAGGCAGGTGGCAGTCACCAACAGTAACATTTTACATCAATATCAATAGAAACACCTTTTAAGCTAGGATCCAGGTCTGCTGCACTGTTAAAAGTGCTATTACTTTGAACTTTAACAGTTGAATTAGAGCTCTGTAATTAAGCTCCTTGATTTTATCCATTCCCACCCCCCACCCCTCCCCTCCCATTTAAATGTGTGCTCCAGTTATTATAAACTGAACATACTCTAGCTTTGTCAGCTTAGGTGCCTTTGTATCCAGAGCAGAGCCAGGAAGCCTGAAATAAGAGCACTAACTACCATATTGATCAGCATTTTATTAAAAAAAAATGTGCAGATGCAAAAAGTATCTAGACAATTAAACTCCTGTATTTGTTCTTTGCATTCTAAACCTGTAGCTTCAGAGCCTGTTTCTCAGCCCCTGAAAACCCTGAACTTAGTTGATTACCTAGTACTACTTCATGTGCAGCAAGGCCTCCTTATGGACATTTAGCACTTTCATTGAAAGGATATGTTAATTGTGCTCACGCAGTAGCTTTATCATTGTGTTTTCCCTCGGCCACTGCTGCTCGTTATTGGATCAGGCAAGGCAAGTTTTTAGAAGGCAGACATTGGGGATGCGGAGGGCAAAGAAGTACCACATCTGCCCCATGGCAACCACAGCACTAATACAACACTAAAAAGCTCGATTTCCAGGTCTGTGGCACATGTCTACACAGCGCAAGGAAGCACGGTACAGATACCATGAACAGCACCCAGCCCTGCTGCTCAGGGTTGTGCCAAGACGCCCTTCAGGCTGACACAGGGCAAGTGAGGGCAACTTTGGTGCACTTCTCTAGTAACCGTGTCCTCCTTGTTTCATGGATTTAAGAAAATCCATTCTGACATGATTAGACACAAAAAAAAGTTCTATCACTGTTGGATCCACTGCCTGAATTGCTAGTATTTGGAGATCTATGGCAGGAAATTCATTTTGAGTTGCCTCAAGTAATACTGATAAAATTTAATATTTTTTTCAAGTACAGGCTTACAGTCTCCATTTAAAAATAAATAAATCTGCCATTAAGCAGATGTGTATGTGTAGTACAAAGCAAAGTTGACTCCCAAAGCCCGAAGGGACAGGAAGACCAAAGAACAAGATTTCTTGAACAACCTTCCCCTTAAAAAAAAAAAAAAAAAAAAAAAAAAAAGGAGGGAAAACAACCAAGCACCTTCCTTACTCTCCAACTCTTTTCAGCTGTATTTGACTATGGCTATCAGAGGAAGGGCCTTCTTGTGCTCCTCTTAGTGACTCAAGACACACACACTGCTATTAATCAACTCACTGATATCTTTGATATCAAACGGTCCAGGCTTGCACATGAAGAGCAAGAAGTCCTTTCTAAAAGCAAAAGTCCAGACTACCTGACTAAAACCCAACAAGCGTGCTTAGGAAATACCCAAGATCTTTTTGACAGAAATGTAGAAAAACTTAATAACAGCAGCATGCTCGCTTTCATCTCCGACATGCAAGCAGTAGCCTAAGGCAATGCTACTGGTCACCTGAATCCAACGGTCATGTAGCCCTGTGATAAACTACACCTACCCTGTTTGTTTACTGCAAGATCCCTGTGTTGAGATTTCCCTCTTCAGAGAGCTGGTAGTGAGAGGGAGCCCTGTTCAGAGGGAGAGCTGTATTTCTGCATAAACACCCAAAAATAAAGTACCTGCCTGATGCATATCTGTTGCTCCCAGCTTTTCACTAAGCTGAGTGAGTGTGGGAGGCAAAGTGGAAAAATGAGGAATACAAAAAAAAAAAAATTAGCAGCATCAGTCTGGTTGATTTACTGGATCCAGCAATCCAGTGCACTCACTATTCTGAAGTGAAGCAATGCAGGGTTACTGCAGCTTGGTGTGCAAGAGTGGCCTTCAGAAATTAACAATTTTAGGTCCCTTCAATTTTGTTTTTTGCAGCTTTGGTGTTTCTATAATTTCTTCAGAATCTGCACTCATTCCACTGGCCCATTGCCCAACCGTAACACAATCTGTAGAATAAAAGACAATTTTATAGCAAGGCTAAGTACTATCATCATTAACAAATATACTCTAGCTAGTATTATCTTCAAAACACTTCTTGTTTTAATAAGTTCAAGTTTTGCACAGCAACTTCCCCTCCCCGCCTTACTATATGTGCACATTCCCAAAGGAAAGTTGTCCTTGTACTTACAGGCACACTTCTCAGACCTCTTTTATCCTGACCACAGCCAAGCAAAGCAGTAAATGCAAATTACTGAGCTGTGCATTCAAAATCCCCTGCGTATCATTCCTTTGCATCTCACCTGAGTTCTGGTTTTCTGGACAGTCTTTCCTGAAGTGCTCCACAGAGCCACAAAGTCTGCAGCAGCCACCTTTTAAAAGAGAAAGTTTTCATTCATCTAAGGGGGATTTGTTTTATTCCTCTATGTTGTAAAGTCTTGTTTTACTGTTTTGTAGCAACAAATTCTGTGCACACTCCACATACCAAGATCAGTACAAGCCAAGATCAAGAACTGTCCCTTTAGATAGTCCATATTCCTGGGCACAGTAACGTGACACGGGGGAGCAGATGAGCAGCCAGCTTTAGGAGCCTACATACACGCACACCCCTTCCTCTCTATCTGTGTCTCTGAGCCCTTACTAACCACAGTGCTCTGCAAAGCTCTGAATACTACAACTATCAAAGACCACATACTGAATACTTCACATTTCTTAGAAGCTGTCTTTGGGAGAAAAGAAACTGAATTCTGCAGAAACACAATTATTCAAAGTAACTTTTGAAATTAATAGGAGCTGCTGCTAAGTATGCAATCCAAACAGAGGTACTAAATTACTCATCATCTCAATATTTAAAAGAGTGTAATACCTCTAAATTGATTGTTCTTCCAATTTAATGTTTTTTTAAAATCACCTTTTGCAGTTTGTGAGATGCCCCCAAGTTTGTACTGCCCTTCTCCACTGTAGCATGTGAAATCTAGTTAGCCACATTTCCTGCTCCTCTTGAAATTGCAAGGATGAGTAAGTTCACATACTTTGAATCTGAGCTGCTTGTTTAAGATTAAGCAGAAATTCTTAGGTAATGAAGATTAACATTAGATTCCCCCTAAATTGACATCTACTTTTATCTACAGTAGAGCATACTGAGAAATTCTTTCTAGTAGAACCCTCCACTTCTAGTACTGTCATGAACCTGTTCCTATGTTCTTCCTTAGCTAAGCATAAAATTAATGTTTCTATTGCAATAAAAATTGCTACACTCACCTTCAGCATATAATCCTTTGGGATTATCTGGACGCAACCTTGAAAGATGCCCCATCTCACTACAGATAAAACATTTTGCATATGGAAATGGTCCTGTAAAATCCCGTACAGTTTATAATGCAGATTAAGAACTTTGTAAAATCATAATTTACCCTAGAAAATACATTATAATACTAACTTGCTATACACTGTAATAGTCATTGTTAAAGTCATGTATTCCTTGAAACATGCCACTTTACATCCTCAGAACAGTTAACTTACTAAAAAACAAAGCCTATATTTCAGTAGTCAGAAAACCTGCACAAAGCACTTTGAAAAATACAAATTTCTGAATCTTACCAACAGCTGGATCTACTTTTGCTTTGCACTTGGTGATTTCATGTTCTGTGGATCCACAGCGGTAACAGATTCCTGTACCCACATCTTGACTTTCGAGTACAGCTGGACAATCAGCAGTCCCATGGCCAGGCTCTCTACAGTGGAAACACACCTTCGAAAATAAAAATTGTTACATACATTCTCATAGGCAGTTCACAAAGCCAAAGACTGCATTCCTAAATAAGTAACCTACCCCTAATATATAATTAGCACTTACGTCAAGCAGGTTTTCACTAAACCATTATTCTCTTGGCCAAGGCCCTGAGGGCATTACCAAATACATATCTCTGAACAGATACAATGATGCTCTGAACCAAATACGTATCGGTGAACAGAAAGCAGAGAACTGAGTCATATGTAACCACCAGAAGCAGCATGCTGAGCTCTCCATAATGCTTAGCATGCCTAGGAACCGATACCTATAGAGTTATTTCTGCTCAGTGTTTTAGACTTGTTATCTTCTTATTCTGAGAAAGACAGCTGCTTTATTTTAAATACAGTCAGTACTGCAGAAGGAAGAGTACATTACATGCAAACAGGCGCCAGTGGATTGCAGAGGATGATGCACTCCTGTGTGTATACAGGACCTCAACAGCTGTAGAAATTAAACCACATTCTGTATTATTAAGTGACTAGCTAAAGAGCACTACTATTTAAGTTTAAAGCCATAAAGTTTTTCCCTGTATGTTTCTGAAAAATCAAAAATTGTTATCCTACAAGCAGACAATGTTTCCTTAACAGGGAGCTATCAAATTTAACAAGGGAAATTCTATTTCTATCATGACAGTGTGTGTCTAATAATCTTCCTTCACCTGAACGATGCCTTCCAATTTTTCATTTGGATAAAGAAATATTAAAGGGCAGAGTATGTTCACTGTATAAAGTAGCTAACTAAATAGCCAACTGCAGGCTAACCATTAAAGGCCTCAGTTCATCCAGGCATTTAAGCACTTGCTGAAAAATAAACCTTTAAATATGTGAGTTGACCTACCAACACATTTAAGCACTTGTTTAAATGTCTTGAAGAATTAGTCACGGGGCCCATCACCTGACGGAACTAACACAGGGCTACGGCCGGCCGAGCTGCCAGCCTGAGCACTCGGCATCCTGACACCTAACAATAAAATCCATCCATAGATGACACAGAATACAGAGTACGTCACCATTTGCCAGAGACAGCCAAGAAAGCCAAAAAGAAAAGGATCAGTAACCTGCTCAGTTTAGAGTTAAAATAAGTAAATAACTAAATCAATCCCTGTACAGGAGCCCTCAGAACGCTGCAGCTACAGCAGCATTTAGGCAGCAACAGAGTTTACCCGTTCCTTTCTCTACCCAGGCTTAAATCAAAATAACTAGAAAAATGTCATCCTGAGGCTCTGGCAAGCAGTGTTCACTAGCCAGAGATCATAGGCAAAACTCACACACGGGTACAACTGTATGGGGAACTGTGAGAAACTGTGGGATACTGTGGGAAACCGTGAAAGTTAGGAATGTGCTGAATAGCAGATAGAGAAACCTAAAACACAGGCCAGACGCGCCGGTCTCTGGTTGGTTACCTGCTGGCCGGTAGCAGGATTGGACCCAGATAGCAATAGAGTCAAGGAATTGGCTGAAGGCAGGGGGAGGGATGGTGCCCAAACAGGGACCGATAGGTGAACGGGGAAGATCGTGCGGTGAAGCAAGCTGGACAGGACAGACGGGGTGGGGGCAACATCTACGCGGCCGCAAGTGATAAACGGTAACGAAGCTCTGAACCGCCGGGGAGTGCGAGCCTCGGAAGCTCTGGCACTGAGGAGTGAGAGCCTTGGAAGCTCCGGCACTCGGGAGTGCGAGCCTTGGAAGCTCTAGTCACTGGGAAGTGGGAGCCTAGCTGTCAAGGACGATGGCGGGGAATCCATGACAAAGGAGTAGGAAAAGTTGCTGCAGACTATGCAGCATGTTTTAGATAGGTCCGGGAGAGGTCAGGATATCCAAACCGGGGATTTGATTTGTCTTTTAAAATGGGGATTAGATAATTGTAACGCGTTAAGTGAGGCAACAATATGCGATCCCGGGGCCTGGGACGAGTTCGGTGCAGTTTTGTGGAACTGGGCTACCCGAGGGGACTTCACGGCGTCATCACTGTTGCGCCCGTGGCGCATTGTATGTGAGGCATTGCGAGAATACGTGGGTACATCAGAAACAGGGATAGAAGCAACACCCCCCACCCTCCAAGCGATTCAAAACCTCCACCTTTGCGCCCGGAGGACTGCTATCCACCAACGTATACTTACCCACCCCCCCCCAGGCTCGGGTCTCCACACACAGCCTCCCCTCCTCCCGGACGGGGGATTGCAGGAGGTTGTGGTGTCACCACCCGTGGAGCCGGGCGGGGATAGTAAAGGGAAAGAACCGAGAATCCGTGAGTGACGGTTAGGCGTGGGGTGTTGCAGGACAGCAATATGATGTAGGGAAGGCAGCAGGGCAGGAAATGGAAGATACCTCAGGCGATCCGTTGCAGATGCTTGCGCGTCTCTTGCCACAACTCTGTCCGCGGCGCCGTAAACCGCCGGCGGCACCGGGACCCTGCCCCCCGCTGTGGAAAGGGAAGGCATTACGCACATCAATGCCGCCCTTTAGCTCATCGAGATGGGCAATCATCGAGATGGGCAATCTTTGCCTAAGGCGGGAAACGGGAAGCGCAGCGCGGGGGGTGCTCGCGTGAGGACACAAATAATGCACGCCACCGACATAGATCCCGAGATGGCAACTCCCGTGAATTTCGACTGGGAACGGCCGCCGAAGCAGAGCGAACAGTAAAGTGGACCACCGCTGATCCCCAAAAGGTTCCTTTGCGGGTCATACAGCGAAAGGAGGGACCAGTTCTAGTATTGGGATCAGAAGGGTCGGGCGTTTGGGTAACACCTCTGTTAATCCTCTCACCCGAAAAGCACGGAATATATGCTCAAGTCTCGGCGCCACGTCCACCACAAAAGGTGCGTGTCGGAGATCCGATAGCCCAGGTCGATTGGCTGACCCAGATACAAGTAGAAGAATGACCAATGTGCTCTGCACAGCTGTCAGCTGGGTTGGCCAAGTGCACAATCACGGGTTTAATGGACAGTGGGGCCGATGTAACAATTATTGCACAGAAAGATTGGTACTTGGAAGTTCTCCTCCCAGGGAGTCGTATCCAGCGCTTTGCTGCCCTCGGTGGCGCCGTTGTGAGCCCATCGGGTCACGGCTGCCCCAGGAGCATCTTAGAGAGCTTGAGAACAATTAAAAAAAAGAAATAAAAGAAAAAAAGGTGAAGTTTAACACAGGCACCTAGAAAGCAGCCCACGCGACCGTTGCCCAGACCGGCGGCACCGCGCACCGGAAGGGGGATTGGGTCCCCGGGGCCTGGCACACGCGTCGCGTCGTGCCGCGGGCGCCATGTTGCGGCGGCGGGAGCTGCGA